AACTCACTTGACATATTGTACTTGTGGTGACTTATACATAGTAGGAGCATTAAAGGTTAATATCACAATGTGTAGAGGTACCACTCACTTGACATATTGTACTTGTGGTGACTCATACATAGTAGGAGCACTAAAAGGTTAATATCACAATGTGTAGAGGTACCACTCACTTGACTTATTGTACTTGTGGTGACTTATACATAGTAGGAGCATTAAAGGTTAATATCATGATGTGTAGAGGTACCACTCACTTGACATATTGTACTTGTGGTGACTCATACATAGTAGGAGCACTAAAGGTTAATAACACAATGTGTAGAGGTACCACTCGCTTGACATATTGTACTTGTGGTGACTCATACACAGTAGGAGCACTAAAGGTTAATATCACAATGTGTAGAGGTACCACTCATTTGACTTATTGTACTTGTGGTGACTCATACCAATAGTAGGAGCATTAAAGGTTAATATCACAATGTGTAGAGGTACCACTCACTTGACTTATTGTACTTGTGGTGACTCATACAATAGTAGGAGCATTAAAGGTTAATATCACAATGTGTAGAGGTACCTTAAAGGTTAATATCACAATGTGTAGAGGTACCACTCACTTGACTTATATAGTAGGAGCACTAAAGGTTAATATCACAATGTGTAGAGGTACCACTCACTTGACTTACTGGTTTGACAGTAATCTGATTAAGTTATGAAAGAATGAAGAACATAAATGAAGGAGGGGGGGAGACATGAAAAGATGACAAAAAAAAGGAACTCTAGTTTACAAATAGTGGTCTGTTGTGTTTTTCATGTAAGGCAATGGGACATGTATTATATTCAAGTTTTGTACAAAAGATGACAGTGTATTTGTTTATGGAGTGATAGTTTTTTATATTCTAGGGTGCTATGATGTCAATAGCTTATAAGGAAGGACTAAAGGTGGAGCCAGAAGCAATCAATGACATCATTGTTTCCTCTAATCAAGATATTAGACAGGTATTGTGCGAACCTCACAACTTTTGAAAGATTTTAATGTGCTGAACGGGTACAGTGACTATTTGCAGATCTATGTTGGTTCTGTTTTTTAAGTATTGATTAAGATGTATCTAAGCCTTGTGTATCAAGTGTAAAACAAAAATGCATCAGTTTTCATAGTGAGTTATGGAAGTATGTGATTATATAAAAAAAAACTGATTAGCTACTCACATTATTGAAGACTAAATAATAATCTGTAAAATTTCCTGTAAATGTTCATGTCATTTCACTGTGTCAACAATGTTTGTTTCATATGAATAACTCATCAAGTAATGGCAGTAACTAAATGTACTCAAAGTATCTAGTCATTTAAAAGTTCAATGTCTGATTTTGTTTCCAGAAAGTGAGGTTTTAATACTGGCTCAAGATTTTATTGTGGTATTAAATATTGTTAAAGTAAACGTATCTCAATAATAAGATACATTCTGGACAACTCAGGCTACTGTGGCTTCCTCTGGTTGACAGAAATTCAAACTGAAGGATTGATCACATTTAGCATTATTCTCCTAAGCAATGCCAGGCGAAAGTCTGATCCTTTTTTTTGATGACGTTATCTTTGATAAATGAACTTTGTAAGTTGCGTGTGTGTGAGTTTCGTCTGGATGCTTTCTCTTCATCTGGTTTTGTCTGTTATAAAAAACTATGAATGTTGATAACATTGATCTTGATAAATAATAAACTTTAATGGATACATGTCAACATATGCTTGAGCTTCTTGTGAAGGTTTCTTCTTCACCTGATACTTTATGTTATGAGTAACTATGAATGCCTCATGTATTAGATGACATTGATCTTGATAAGTAATATCATGCAAGTCATGATTGGTATTTTTTTAGCATAAAAACTTAATTTATACCATACTCTAGTAGTAAGTTATTTTTGTCGTGTTTTCTAGCCGATACAATCACCTGAGTGTAATTTTTATTTTTGTTTTAATTTTTTATAACTAGATACTAATTACTAACTATTTTTTTATCCTGTGCTTTGTCCACTAATCTTCTACTGTCTTGAGGAAAGTCCTGAGAAGGAACATTTTATATGTTGGTAGTGACTAGGATTCAATCCTGGATCTCCTTGATAGAAATCTGGTTTTCCACTTGTTTGGGGTTTTCCATATTAGAACTGGACTCAACCAACTATTTAAATGTTTTCAAGAGGGATAATCAGGTTTTGATAACTTCTATGCTAGATTCACTGAACTTAGGTGGATCTATCAGTCTTATTCTATCTTTGTTTTCCTCGTGTTTGCTTCATATCCTATTATTTTAGTATTATTCAACTTTGTTGTATGGTCTTCATCTCTGTGTTGTTTTACTAGTTGTAGTTGAATGTTACATTTACTACAGTGTCTTATTGTGTTGTTTTACTAGTTGTAGTTGAATGTTACCTTTACTACAGTTTGTTATTGTGTTGTTTTACTAGCTGTAGTTGAGTGTTACCTTTACTACAGTGTCTTATTGTGTTGTTTTACTAGTTGTAGTTGAGTGTTACCTTTACTACAGTGTCTTATTGTGTTGTTTTACTAGTTGTAGTTGAATGTTACCTTTAGTACAGTGTCTTATTGTGTTGTTTTACTAGTTGTAGTTGAGTGTTACCTTTACTACAGTGTCTTATTGTTGTTTTACTAGTTGTAGTTGAATGTTACCTTTAGTACAGTGTCTTATTGTGTTGTTTTACTAGTTGTAGTTGAGTGTT